ATCCCAGGGCTGGAAATTATTTCCTCTTTCTGTACTTCTGCTCTAGGCTCTTCTGTCCCAGACATTTAGAACAGCTTTTTCCAAGTGTCATCTGCTTAAAAAAGGTGCCAGCTTAAGAGCAGAGGCCAGACTTTGCTGTGACGTTGCCTTCTGAACCCTGCTGATATCAGCAGCGGTGCAGGGAACGAAAGGTCAGGATTTGGTCCAAAATATAGGGAATTAAGAACGATGTCATAGGCCTCGGTCAGCACCTACCATATTTATTCACGTGCATCGTACAACTTGCCCCAAAAACTCAGCCCTCCCAAACTGAGGTGTGTTCCTCTAAGTGGGGAAGCTGATTTTCTTTGCTGGAATAAAAACATGGAGGAGAAGCATGAAGACGCTGTGTTGCAAAATGGCTCCCAGCTCCTCTCTCAGCCAGCAAGCCAGGAGGGTCGACAGCTCACGGTCAAGTGCAGGGGGTAGTATAAATGTGAATAGAGAACTGGCTCAGCCTCTCAAGCAGAGACGTGCCAGGGTCACATCTCTCTCTAATGCAGAACTGAGGTATCTGGGGGGTGGCATTGCCCAAGCAGCACTGCCAGCGTCAGGCAGCCCTGGCACCCGTTTGCTTGCGTGGGCTGCCCCCTATTTAGAGAGGGTTCCTTTGCGAGCACCCGGCACATTGCACCGTACAGATACTTTGCCACTGGCTTCTGGGTAAGGAGCAGAAACTTCAGAGCTGAGAAACATTTCTTCCTGTCTTAGGCAGACAAGGCTCCTTGGGTGAATCTGATATCTTTTATTAGACAAACCCATTTAATTAGACCAACCCTTCTTCCTGTCTTGGCTTTTTTCCTCCCATCTCTCTCCCTGTGGACAAGGGGTGCTTTCCCCTCACGCTTTGGTTTCAAATGCGTCTGCATGCTGTTTCCAAAGCAGGAATACAAACTAAATCCAGCCTTTTCCCCCTGATGCTATGTGTGGTATTAAATACACGCCCATACATTGCCAATGGCCTGAGGCCACCGTGCTCTGTGTTAAAAGACGAATCTGCAATTTTCCCTTTCTTCCTTTTCTGTGGGGAAGTAGAGGTCCTTTGCTGGCATCAGTGGCTTCCTCTCGACACCCACCGGGGCTTGGCCCCTGCAACTGGTTTCCCTAAACGTTGCAAATGTCCCCGGGTCCTTTTCTTGCTTTCTTCTGACCCTACAGGACTAGCACGAGACGTGGGCTGGGCAGAATGAGGAGCTAATGATCTTTAGTAGCAGGAACGGATGGATGCCTGCCTGGCCTTTTAAAACCAGCTGAGCTTCTGATGGGAAAAGCGGCTGCTGCCCGCTTTTGCGGTGACCTTCGCCCCAGGGACGAGTGTGGGACGCAGTTGTGTGTACAGGGTGTGCACCCAGCTCTTAAATCCGCTTGACGGACAGCACCGCTGCAGCCTGTCGTCAGGGGAATAAGTGCCAGTTGGGACGAAGGCCTGGAGCCGCGCTTTTCTCATAGCAAATAGGTCATGGAAATATTCAAGCAGTAAATGTTTCCCCACCCAAAATAATGCGAAAAATGCAATCCGCCTTGCCCGCACCTCACCCCAGCCCGAGTGTCAGAGTTTCCGCTCCGTCCAGCTTGCACTGGGCACGACAGACCCGGGGACTGTTTCTCTGCCGCTGCCCACAGCAGGAAGCCCGGGTGCCGTCCACCTGCGGACCCATGCAAGCCCAGGTGAGAGTTGTCAGGGCACTTCACGCTTCAGCCTCTCTCTCCGCGGGGCTGACGTGTCCCTGCGCCCGGGGCTGTGGGAAGGGAAGCCAGAAGAGCCCTTCTTGCCGGCTCTCTGACAGCTCAGGAGTCCCTGCAGGGGGGTCGAGGAGGATTCGCTCTTTTATCCGATTCAGTAAGCGTCCCTGAGAGGGCCGATGCCACGGGAAAGAGCAGCATTGGTGGGAGCTCTTAGCCTGGCCTGGGATGCTTCGTTACTGCTTAAAGCGAACGCTGGGACGGTAACGGGTTTGGGCAGCATCTTTAATGATAGCAAGTGGCCGAGACATAGCGCTGTGCGGGGCATTGCTTCTGTACTGGCCCACGAGGGAAGAACAGCGCCTGCTCGCTAGCTCCGCTCTGCGCCACGGCTTTCCCTGGACGACTCTGTGCATACGTCCCCCCCCCCAGGCTGCTCTGGCAGCCGCAACCAAAGACGGGGGCTCGGCAGAAAGGAGTGACCGTCCTGCCCAGAGACTGCTGCTTTTGGAGGGTGGGGAAGCATCTCTCTTTCTTTATTGTACAAAAAGGTTTGTGCCGTGGTTGGAAGTGCCCCTCGTGCGCTGCAGCCACGTGGACCCCGAAGGCTCCTGCCTCGTTCCAGACCGACGCAGACTCTCCCAGCCAGCACGGTGGGAGGGCGCCTGCTTTCCAAAGAGCGCTTGTGCCTAGTTCTTTCATCGACCTTATATTTCAAAGCCCAGGGAGCCCTGAGCAGTCCGCCCCTGCAAGGCCTGAGGTAATTTTTCTGGCTGTTGAGTTTTTACAGTACTTCCAGGAAATCCTGGATCGAGTTCTTTGAAAAAGCTCTGGCCTGTGCTTGCCCTAGACTTTCAGCAATCCTGAGCTGGTTAGCAGGCCTCCCCCCCCTTCCCCCAGCACATGCTGTTGGCCCTTTCAGCATCCTCGGCCCTCCTTTCCTCCCAGCGCAGTCACGCAATCCGTGGTGCCCTGCCTTTGTGATTGCTGATTATCTTATTAAAGGCTGCAGGAGTGGGTGTGACTCATTATGCATGGGTGGGTGTGACTCACTCTGCTCTCATAGTTCATTAGATCCTCCGAGCCTCCCTCCCCTCGGGTTTCGGCAAACTCTTTTGCATTTGGCTGGCATCTGCCGTTGCCCCCTACCTTAAATGGTGCGGAGTTTCCTTCTGTCCTGTCCGAACTGGTGCCTGAAAGTGTCCCTGTTGCACATGGGTACATCTTCATCACTGTGACTCCAAACGAGCTGGCATGGGTACTGAAGCAGCCTAGCTCAGCAGCCAGGAGCTCATGCAGGGCTGCAAAACCCACCGGAGAAGCTGGGTAACTGCTCATGCCTGCCGTCAACCTGCCACGAGCTCTTAAGCTGGCACCTTTTTTAATGTTAGCCTGCCATGAGCAATGTGCTGCTGCAGCTGGGCTGCTACCAGCGCTGGAGCCAGCGTGTCCCAAGCTAGTTCCAGTAGGTCTACGTTGTGCTGGAGCCACTCTGCACAATAAACTTTATTCCTCCCTCCTTCGTAAAGGGAGCTTGGTTCTTGGTTTTGCATTAGGAGGGCACTGCTACCATCATGACGTGAAGGCGATCAGATTTGCACCTGCTGGGAAGTGGTCACGGTGCCTTTCAACCCTGCCTTTTCAAGGAGCCAGCCTTTCCAGAGCTGCTCCGGGCGTGTGGACCTTTTCCTTCTGCCTGGTCACTGTCTTCCCCTGAGGCTGCTGATCCTTCCTCTGGAAGGGATCAAACCTCCAAGCGGCCATCGCCTTTTCCTTGCGCGGATGGTACCGAGTTGCACTGTATGCCATGGTTTCCAGCAGTTACGATGGGCAGGCTGTCTGTTTTGTAAGCGGTTCTGGAGTGACTGCACCGTGTGGAATAGCGCCCAGGCCATTTCATGTCAATGAATGGATACTCCTGATTAGAGAAGAAAACAAATGCATCTGCACTGCAGTTTTACTCCCTTAATTGAGTTTCCACACCTTCCTACACCGTGTTTGCTCCCCTGGGCTGTATGGTGTCTCTGGTAGTTGTTGTGTATGTGCCTATACACCACAGTGAGGCGCATCTGCTTTCATCCCCACACACACTGAGTGCGCACAGGCTCGGGTGCTACCACACTACTCCTGCCCATGCACCTGCAGGCACCGTTGCACCCCCCGTGTACACGAGCACATGCCCTCAGCTGTGCATGCACGGAAGCATCTCTGCTTTCAGGAGGCGTGCTCCTGTCTCTGAGCTCACAGCGGCATACCAGACTGACAGTGCTGGCAGGCGGCAGTGTTCCCAGGCAAGCGCTGATAAGGGATGGAAAGCTGCTCTGATTGCAGATGTCCCTGGTCCTGCTGAGCAGCCCCCACCTGCGACTTCATTCCAACGGACACTGTTGGATGGGCAGCGTTGAGCTATGGTCCTTCTACCTCCTGCCCCAGTAGATTCAGCATGTAGGAGCTGCAAGATTAGGATTCAGCGACAGCTGCAGGATTTGTTTGGTGATAGCTTTTCTTGGACCAGCTCTATAGGTGGGAGAGATGCTAGACAAACTTTCAGGTACTTCCTCGAGTCTGGGAAAGAAGCAGATCCAGCCTAAGCTAAAAAGCAGGTACAACTTTTGTTTAACTCCATGATGCAAATGAAAGTAGTCACTTAGAAAAGAGGAAGAGGGCAATGAAAACCTGCGGAGCTAAGGAGGGCAGTAAAAACCTTCTGAAACTAAAGAGAAATTGTCAGAAGTAACTACAAAGCAAGTAAAAGGCGGTTGAAATAGAGGAACTTAATTATGTATAAAAGAAGTCCCTTCAGAAGGAAAGGGGGTTGTTATTACCAGTGAAGTAGAGAGAGGTTAGCCAAGAGCAGGGAAAGGGTTTATGGCTCCTTATAACGAGATGTTTAATACGTGGGGTTTAGCGCTCAGCAAAGCCGGGCGTTTCTCTTCCCCAGTCCGCGGAAGGTTGTGTGGCATTTCCTGGCACCCGTGGGGCAGGAGGCTGGGCCTGCCGTTGCCAGGGGCTGGCACGTCTGTCTGAAGTGATATCTGTGAAGTGAGTTCCAGATTTCCGACGTGCCTCCGAGGTCGCGGTAACACCGCTCCTACGAGCAAGCCGTGTTGATTCTCTGTGGGTGGATTCCGAAGTAGAAAGGAAACCTCATGAGTCAATCTGCTGCTGCGTTCCCCAGGCTGCCATGCGAGCGTGGGATCGGTAGTTCAGCAGTGTCCCCGTCCCTCTGGCAGCAAGTTGTGCCTCGGTTAAGAGTTGTCTCTTGTTCTGTTTTGCAGGTTCTCCAAGCCAGCACCCATGTTCCTGGATGATTCCTTCCGAAAGTGGGCACGGATCAGGGACTTTGTACCTCCCTTCGGAATTAAAGGACAAGGTATGACCAGGAGAGCAGACGTGGTCCTGCAGTTGGGACGTTTGCCCTGCAGTTTTGGTTTCCTTTGTAAGTGCTAGGAGGCTTGTGCTCTGTGCTGTGGTCTCATTCCACGCTGAATGCAGTGTGTGCATCCAGCGCTGTCACCTCTGGAGACTGGTCTCCTAACTGCTGGGCATGGGGAGTGCGGACTAGACTGCAGGGGGATCAGAGGCAGCAGTGCCATTAGGTCCAGGATGCTCTGCTGGGGAGCCTTCACCAGATGCTGCATCCCCAGCAGGGATAGGCTGCAGCTGGCGGGCTGGCAGCGGCAGCAGCGCCCCTTCAGTCCTCACGCTGCTGGGAGGGTGTCGTCTAGCTGACAGCCCCAAGAACAGAGAGCAGCGCTGCTCACTGGTGGATTTGAACCCCATGCGATCAGTTTTTCATTTGCCGTCTCGGCAGGTGGCAGCTCTACTCGTGCTCTGAGGGGCCACAGAAGTACTTCCATAGCTCTCCCACGTGTGGGGAGCCTGAGGCTCTTCAACAGACCAAGGCCCACTCAGATACCACAGGCACGGACTTTGCACAAGGGAGACCCACCTCGTTGGGGCCAACTCCAGTGCCTGGTCCCGGCAGCCGTCTGCATGTGCGGAAAGCGGCAGCTTCTCTGCGAGTCGTGGCAAACTGCTGTAAGGCTGCAAACAGACGTCACCTTTGTGCCTCCATAAACATTTTTATGGCAGCACGGAGCCCGAGCAAACAGACGTCCATGCCCCTTGTTGCACCACAAATGCCCAAAATCAAGGCTATGACAAAAGGTGATAAAAAACGTGTGCTGCTTTTTTGTGACCAATGTCTGCTTGCTTTATGGTGGGAGAGCGTGGGCAGCCCAGAGCTACCTGCACTCTCCAGCCACCCCAGGCAGGTGCTCCCAGGGCTTCAGGGGTCTGATCCTGTGTGTATCAGGAATTCCTCAGCATGAGATTCCCCCCAGTGCACGTATTGCACTGCCATGCCTTGACTCAGGACAACAGGGTGACATCTATGTCACCCAGTGAAGTGGATTAATTAGGCTGGAGAGCATTCTGGCACCACTGATCCCGCTCCAAGGACAACATCTGTTTATAGCCTAAGACTCTGTGTTGTGGCTCAGGCAGGCAGGACTCAATTAAAGCAACCTGAGGCTCTAGGCCAATGGTCCTCAACCTCCTTAGGCTCAAGGCAGCCCTTGGAAAATGCCAGTTCTTAGTTTTCACTCATTTTTTGATGATGGGAAAATGACAGAGCAACTCTTCTGTTGCCAAGAACTCAGCAGGCCAGAGTGCCTTTTACACACTGGATTCCTATTGGAAATCTCTGGGCTTATCTTGTGAAACCTGCCTGCACACCCCGGTGTGCTGACGTTGCGTGGCGCCCCGTGGCACCCTGGAAAGGATCTCCAGGCAGCCCAGGGTGCTGCAGTTACCGGACTGAGAATCACTGCTCTGGGCACATCGCAGCCTGGATCCCCTCTATGGCCCTGCCTGGTTCTTTGTTGGAGTGGTGGTGGCAGGGCTGCATTCGGGGCATCCCACGGCAAGGAGCTATGGTAGCAGCAAGGCAGGGCCTGTTACCTACCCCAGCAGCCAAGGTACAGCTGTTTCCATGAATAGGACAGGAGGTGTCGGTGTGGGTGGCCGGCTGCACTATCCCCCAAAGACACGAGGAGGGCAGCTCCGGTTTCAGGCTCTGGGCAGACTCAGGCAGGCACCGTGCAGCACTGACACAAGGAATCCCATCGTATTTTTCAAGTTTCTTTTTCACAACCATGAGAGCTGGGCACTGACTCCACTCCCACTCCCAGATAAAGCACCTGGTGTAACCACCGGGCTCCAGGACAGGGCTGCCCTGGTCCCAGGACGGTTGTGCCTATGTCTCAGTCCCGTCCGGGAAGTGGATTCTGTCGGCTGAGCGGGGCAGCAGAAAAGAACTCGCTGATTAAAGCCAAGACACCATTGATGAGGCTCTTCTGACTGGTGCTGTAGCCCCTCTCTCCTCGGGCTGGCACATTTCTCTCCTGCAGTGCTGCGTGCTTCTCCCAGCCCTGGGCGCAGGAGAGCTGGAAAGGGCTGCTGGGACCAGCAGTAGAAGCGCTGCCTTGGGCACAAGAGGGAACAAGCCTCTTGCAACAGGTGCGCAGTGTAGTGCAGGCAAGGGCAGGCCTCCTGGCCAGGGTGGAGCAGGGCTTGGGGTGACGTGTGCCTGCAGCCTGGCCCGACAAAAATCCTCTGCGTGAGCTGGATCCACATGGAGAAACTTGCCAGGAAGGGATGACGGCGTGGCCCTGGCAGCCTGCGCGGGGCTTGCTGCCAGCTTGTGTCACCGCCACAGTGTTATGTAAATCTGGTGTTTTATGTTGGATTTCCTCTGTTAAAAGGAGAAATGAGAAATCACCATTATTTAAACGGCTGAGAGCTTGAGCAATGGGACGGAAACAGCTGAATGGATTTTTTTTAATGCCCTCCTGGGACTCAGCTCTGTGCCAAGTTTCAGTCCGGAGCAATTTCTGTGTGTGGGAGGGATGAATTATAAATCGCTGTAGACCAGGGTTTTTAATGGCCGTGCTGACAGGCCGTGCGTTCTAGCGATACGGATGGCGCCCCTCTTCACGTCACACGTCACTTGGAATTCGTGCCTCGGTCTTTTCTCGCCCTCTCAAGGGGCATGTCTTGGATGAATTGAGTGACTTGATGATGGGATCAACACCTCATTAGGGCCTTCAGTCAGAGCCCGTCTAATGGTATCCAAACAGCCGGCCGAGGCAGGCAGCGCGGAGAGAAGTCACAGAGCTTGTGCGAGCTGAAGACAGTCGGAGCTGGGGTGCGTGTGGGAAAAGCCAAGCAGACAGGATGGCCGGGGGAGTCGCGAGGAGACGTGCCTGTGCTGAAACAGATGGGGAGGGTTTCTCAGCCTGTGCGTTAGGATGCCTCTTAACGCTCGTGGTTGAGATCGCCCAACGCACGTCAGGCTGGGGAGAGGATTTGGTGTTTAGAGGCTTTCAGCTCCGGCCCGCTGGTGGTGACGTGCTTTTGCTTATGACTTGTGCGACTAGCATCTGGCCACTGGGAGTCCTGCTGTCTTGTCCTCCCGTTAGGAGCTTCTTTGTGAGGGGACATGGTGGAAGGGGTTCCCTCCGCTTCTAGCTCCTGGAAATGTCTAGCCAACCGGCTACATTTCCATTTCACTGCTTAAAGGTAACGGTGCAATAAGAAATAGTTTCTCAGCATCTTCTTTTGCCTCCCACTGCTGAAGCTGCCATCTCCCAGGGTTTTGCATGTAGATCTTTGAATTGAAGCCTGTAGCGAGCCCCTTTTCACCTGGCTTCTTGCGTTCGTGCATTAGGGTTCCTTTTAGAAAGGATTCAGACTCCGGAGCCTTTCAGGAAAGGAGCAGATCCTGCAGGATGCTGCTGGCAGCGTGTGTTGGGCAGCCTGGAAGGTGCTGCGGACCAGTGATTTTATGTGGCCGGAGGACAAGTGGAGCGAAGCCTTCCTGTGGGCAGCCAGAACTAAACCTCGTCCCCTGCAGCAAAGCCAGGAGTGCCTGAAAGGGATCAGTCAGCAAAACGCGTGCTGGGCAGGGGTGGATCCAGGGGTGGGGGGCAGTGGCATGGCTGCACCCCCTTTCAGGTTGGGACCACACCGTGGGAGCAAGTTCCTAAAGCAGGTGAAAAGATTTCCCTTCCCCTTTGCAATCATAGAAATGCCCCCTCCCCACCCCGTCCCCCATCCCATTCCCACGCCTGCCTTTCTCTGCTGCCCCAAGGGTGGAGTAGGAAGTGGGAGGGAGGGAGTGTTTTCACCTGCTTTAGGACTTTAAAAACTCCCCAGAGGCTCCCGCAGCGTGGTCTGCCCACACGGGACAGAGGCGTCTGGAAGCAGGGCCTGCCGCCAGCCTGAAGTGGGGGGTGCTGCTCCCTCACCCCCTTTCAGAAATCGTGGGTCAGACCCTGGTGCTGGGTATCTTCAGAGGCCTGGGGATGGTCTTGCAACTCCTGTTCAGTCTGATTTCAAGGCCTAAAAAAACCTGGGACTAGCAACTTTGCCCCTGGTTTAGGCTCCTTGTGGTATACAAGACACTTGGCTCTCTTGGTCCATGAAGATGTAGCTCAGGAACTGGGCACCTTAGAGTAGCTGGCCCTGCCCCTTGACACGGCCTTGATGGATAAGAGCTCCTTGTCCCAGTACTGTACTGCTGCTGCCCAGGAGTCAGTTAAGGGGCATATCAGGTGCAAGGGCAAAGCTCATTCCCAGGGCTTATCCACTAGAAGAGGCAAGTCTCATTGCAAAGCCCCAGGCATCCACTTCCACTTGTGGGAAGGGTTTAGCTGGGGACTGACAAGCTTGCTGTAGCTCACACAGACAGCCTGGGTTTCTGTGACCAGGAGAAACAGGCCTTCTCCTGGAGCAGGACAGTCAGGGGGTGTTCATCTGGAGAAGTCCCCAGTTAATCCCTGATTAAAGCTGGCGATTCCCAAGAAACGCCGCACTCGGTGGGATCCCATCAGCGATGGCCCTGATCTTGCCCAGGTCTGTTTCCAGGCCCTTTTGGGGACCTGGAATTCTACATGGGACTGGCCAAGCTTGCATGTTTTCCACCTTTGCATACAAATTATTTTGAAGGGGGACCGTCTAGGACCTGGCACCCTTGCGTATCATGGAGCATCCAGTACTTGGAAGAAATTAGAGTATCATCAAAATACACCATGACCAACTGATCTGAAGCGTCCCTGAAAATGCCATTTGCAAAGAGTTGGAAGGTGCTCGTGGCACTGGAGAGGTCAAACAGCACGACAGTCCTTTCAGAAGTCCACGTTGCTTGCAGAAGGCTGTCTTCTATTCACCGCTCCTCGGATATGATCCAGGTGGTAGACCACACAAAGATTCAATTTGTCGTGCATGCTCTTTCCAGCAGCTCTCTATTAAAGAGCTGCAGGTACCAGATCCAGGTTGTGGTTTTGTTCCACGTCCTGTATCTGCATG